ATCGGTTGACCAAGAGTTCTCACTTTATCCCGATCCAGGAGAGTATATAGGCTGAGAAGCTGGCTGAGATTTACGTGTGTGAGATAGTGGCACGGCATGGAGTGCCTGTCTCAGTGGTGTCTGACCGAGATGTCTGTTTCACTTCCAGATTTTGGAAGTGGTTTCACGACGAGATGGGTACTCTTCTCCACTTCAGCACCGCTTTCCACCCTCAGACGGATGGACAGAGCGAGAGGACGATTCAGACTCTCGAGGACATGCTGCACGCATGTGTTTTGGATTTCGGTGGCAGTTAGGATACAAATCTTCCGTTAGCGGAATTTTCGTATAACAACAGTTACCACGCCAGCATAGACCGACCTCCCTTTGAGATGCTCTACGGGAGGAAATGTAGGACCCCAATCTGTTGGGGCGAGGTCGGTCAGAGAGTCATGAGGAGTACTGAAGTAGTACTCAAGACTACTAAGAGGATCCAACAGGTCCGGAGCAGGCTCCAGACTGCTCAGAGTCGGCAGAAAAGCTATGCCGGCAAGCGGCATTCAGACTTGGAGTTTCAAGTGGACGACATGGTCCTCCTGAAGGTGTCACCTTGGAAAGGTTTCATCCGGTTCAGGAAGCGGGGCAAGCTGGGCCCCAGATACATCGGTTCGTTCAGGGTGTTGGCTCGGGTGGGCCGGGTGGCTTACCGCTTGGATCTTCCAGCAGAGCTCAGCCAAATCCATAGCACTTTCCATGTTTCTCAGTTACGGAAGTGCTTAATGGATGAATCGGCGGTTGTGCCCCTAGAGGACATTCAGGTTGATGACATCCTGAATTACATCGAGAGACCGATAGCTATTCTCGATAAGAAGACGAAGGAGCTAAGGAACAAGAGGTTTGATATAGTAAAGGTGCAGTGGCGGCACCGCAAGGGCTCGAAGTGGACTTGGGAGCCCAAGGAGGAAATGAGGGAGCACTACCCGGAGTTGTTTCCCGACGCAGCAGACTTCGAGGACGAAGACAAGTGGGGGGGAATTGTAACGCCCGGTTCCTGGTACGCATTTAATTACGATTTATTCATTTTTAAAGAACTACTCGACGAGTTGGGGGAGCCCCAGACTCGTCGAGTAGAAATGAGATTGGACGCGGGATTTAAGTCGCCTACTCGACGAGTTGAAAGCCTCGACTCGACGAGTAGGGCTGCCAGGATAAACCCTAATCTCGGGGGTTTACACCCTATTTAAGCATCTTAATCCCCACTTGCTGGCCTCATTTCCAGCCTCCAAGTCCCAAACCCTAATCCACGAAACCCTAGAGCCTTTTGTGAGTTTATGAGCCATTTTTGAGTGAAATTTGTGTATTTGAAGCTTGCGAAGAAGAGAAGAAGCTTGGAGATTCAAAAGGAAGCTAGTAGATCCAAAAATAACTTCTCATCCTCTTCATTTTCTGGTAAGCAAGTCTCAACCTTGCTTAATAACTTGTTAGATCTCTTCTTTGTCACTTTATGGGGTTTTTGGTCCAAGAAGCTTAGTCCTTGGGAAATGGACGTCCCAAGTGACCTACCTTTCAGATCTGGGGTCTAAAAGGGGTTTCATGGCATAAAGGTGCAAACTTTATGGCCATGGAAGCCCCATGCAAGCTTTAAGGTGTTATTATGGCCTTTTAAGCCCCAAAAGGCCATGCATGGAAGGAAAGTTAGGAGCTTTACGTGTTCAAATGATATCTAAGGCCTAGATCTATGCTAGAATGCTTTAGTTTGGAGTATCATGGCTTTTAGACCAAGATCTATGTCCTAGAGAACTAGGGTTTTAGCTAAACCCTTGAGGAAGGGCTATTAACGGGTAAAGTTGGAAACTTTACCCCTAAAAGGACGTATTCAGTGTATAGGAGAAATAAGAAGCTTGGATCTGAAGAGTAGGGGCTTAATCCCTTAAGATGGTCCAAACAGACTGAGGAACTCATCGAGTCTAGAGAAGGACTCGACGAGTTGAGTCGTTATCTCCCGATTCAGTTTAAGATAGAACTCGGCGAGTCTGTGAAGGGACTCGACGAGTTGACTCGTTTTATCGCAACTATAAGTAGCCAGGGAACTCGGCGAGTCAGGGGGTGACTCGACGAGTTAGATCGCGAGTTCAAGACTTTTGATTCATAGAACTCGGCGAGTTGAGTTAACCCAGAACGTTGACTTGAAAGAATGTGACTTTGACCAAGGGTAATGTAGTCATGCTACCTAAGAAAGATTTTGGACATTTATTAAGTGATATTGTGATGATGTTAGCTGAGGAGTCGCGGAAGCAGCCGATAGAGACCCCTTATCGAGAGATTCAACAGCCAACTTTGTGAGGTGAGTTCTCCTCCAGTAGGAACGTGTCGAAGGCACCAATGCCAGCCCGTTTATGTATGCTAGCGTATGCCGGACTTAGGTCCGATGCCGGGGGTTAGCCCGATGTAGATTATATATTTCCGGACTACGGTCCGATGTCGGGGCAAGCTCGAGGAATGTTTTGTATGCTTGATGACTTTGTGATTCTTGCATGTGTTTGTTTATATGTTCCCTTCTTCAGTCCGATATCGGGGCAAGCCCGAGGAATTTTAGCTTATATGTTATGTGTTATATGTTCCGGGCTTCGGTCCGATGCCGGGGCAAGCCCTAGGAATGTTTATATGTTTATGTTATGTGTTATGTTATATGCATGTTGATATGTTATACGTCTACCGAATTTCGGTCCGATACCGGGCGGAGCCCGATGCCGGGCGGGGTCCGATGTCGGGCAGGGCCCGATGCCAGATTCGTCCAATGTCGGGCGGGGCCCGATGTAGTGGGCAAGGCCCAATGTATGCTATTACGTGATTATGTGTATGGTATGTGGTAGTTTGGGGAGACTCACTAGGCTTCGTGCTTACAGTTTTCAGCTTTGGTTTCAGGTACTTCTGGTAGCAAGGGGAAGAGTCCGGGATGTCTACATGGCACACACCATTTATGATTAGCCTGGGATATGTTACTCTGATTTATTTGACATGTGATTGATATGGATACACTGTTTTGACATTTGAGATATTATGGTTCATGTTTTGATAATGGTTTTTAGTAATTATGATTTAGTTAATGATTTTAAAAATGAATTTTTTGACCGTATTTTTGGGATGTTTCACAAACCCTAAAAGATCATGGGCTTGGGTTGCAGCTCTCCTCATGTCGTGACCTCATTTGGCCCGTCATGTCGTGACCACCTTATTGTCACGTCGTGACCCATAGCTTTTCCCAAAACCATGTCTTTGACTTCTTAATGTCTCACAGTGATCCAATTCAGGAAACGGGTGTTACACGCATTCTTCTTATTCCTTAAAAATGCACCAAAGACACCAAAATGAGCTCCAAACTTGTAGAAGGGTCTAGGGTTGCTTAAGAACACTCTAGAAAGTGATGGAGGCTGAGGGTGAGGGAAACCATAGTCATCACTTCCTTTAAATGAGGCATTAAGCACGGAAATTAGGGGTTTTCAAGTCAGCCGTTACCACGTCGTGGTAGGCATACTGCCACGTCGTGGCGCCTTTAATGAAAACGTGCATTTCCTCCAGAATGTCACGCCATGGTGAACCTCTCACCACACCGTGGACCACAAAAAACCCTCAAAATTCAAAGTGAAATAGGAACCTGAAACGGGGCGTTACATATATGGTTATAGGGACAATTCAATTTCCAATTCTTTTTATTTCCCCATTTTGGCGTCGTTCCCACTTTTTATTTATTTCAGACATCCAATGATTTTCCTTCTTTGTTCACGACGTAGTTAAAAACGTATCTAATGAATTTGGGCTTGAGAAATGTGAAAAATATTTTATATCAGGCTGCTATTATATGAGGCCGGAAAATTTGGGGCCCCTTGAAAGAATGAGCATTGGGTCCCTTTTACCAAGTTTTTTTTGGGGTTTTCTACCTATTTTGCATTATATAATGTGTGCCTACTTTTCTTTTGGTTTTTTTCCCCAAATCTTATCTTTACTAATGATACAATATGCTATTTTTAAAGTTATATCTTCATCGACATCCTATTTATTGCCTTTTGGCCCTTGGGTGCTTTCCAGTATGTTGTGAGGTTTGAATATTTGAAGTAACAAAAAATCGATTAAGATTTGAAAAAACTAAAAGGTTTCATAGCTTTAAAGTTTGGATAATCTTGAGAATCATCAAGATTTAAAACAAAATTCGGATACAGAGTATCCATGATCTCAAATACGAAATCAAAAGAGATTAGAAATGAAGAGTTGAGATTGAATATGAAGTATGTCAATATTGTATATATATATATATATATATATATATATATATATATATATATATATATTTACGGATTTGATACTTTCTTAAATTTTATTGAGATGATGTTGGATTTTTAAGATGATATCTCAACTATTAATATATACATATTGATGCATAAAACCTTAGTTAAAATAAACCCACATGGAATAAAAAACCTAAAAACAAATAATAAAATTTGTGTGAGTTGGGTTCATGTACCTAGGTCATGATAATGGAAGAGTTTTCCTTCTATATTTTTTTTTTAATCAAATGGTAACCTTAGAGTTATGAGACAATGCAATCAAGACATTTACTTAAAACGATGAAAATCTTATCCCCCTCTTAAGATCTCATAAACTTCACGATCAATTTCACGTTTGTAAGTTGTAATATGCAAAAAATTGATATATTTACAACAAATCATGATTTTACTTGATATATTCGACGGGACATATCTAATTTATTAATTTATACATTAGTATTTCTATTCTATTTAATACATAAAAAAAAAGTTAGAAATTGAGACATTTCGCAATTAAATTATAACCTTTTAAAGATTTTTCCTTATTTATTGTCTCTTTCCTTTTCTTAATATATCGTCGTTTATCCAAACTACAACACATACAAACAACATTTAATCAGAACATGATGGTCATAACTTTTAGAAATTTGCCTTTATATAATTTTCCATTCTATTTCCTCAAGTTTGTCGTTAATTTTTTAAATTTTATTTAAACATTATTATTTATTCAGTCAACACTTTATACATACAACACTTAATAGGAATCAGAAAAAAAACGCCTTAGTATGCCATAAATTACTACTTTCACAATTTGCTGGGAAGATATTTTGAAGAATCACCATCCTTGTTGTCAAGAGGCGATGCTTCTTTCAAGAATTCTTGTCTGTTTGCTATAAATTTCGCAAATTTGGAACCCTTTTTCTCTTCTCCGGGCAGCCCGGGCAGCTGGTCGGGCAATGCTGGTCCTGGTTCAGGGGTTGCGGGCGGCATCAATGCCCATACAGAAGAAAGTTGTTCATTTGGTCTGTCAAGATCTTTCAAGATTGATATATCTTTCATGTCTGCAAGAAAACACCAAATGAGACCCATTTTCTTTTTATTATGGTTGGATAATAATAAATTGTTGTTTACACTTACAATATTTTTCTTATTAGTACACTAAAAAAATCTACTCAATGTTGTAATGATGAATAAAAAGAACCTTTTGAGAAGTTGAAGACAGGCTGTAATGCTGCACATGGAATGCTGAAATTTAAATGAGGTATTACTGTCCCCCCACCATGCTTAGCATTACTGTAAAAAAAAATTTAAAAAATTAAAAAAAAAAAAATTACAACTCATTAACTACAAAATTTATGCAACAAAATGAATTTCTTACTAATTAATTAATTTGTAGATTAATTTTGTTTTGTTACCTTGTAACAAGACTGATCATGTGACCATTTGAATTAAGAATAGCACCACCACTACCACCAGGATGCACGGCGGCAGTTGTTTCAATCATTGCCGGAATATCTCCATCTCCGCCAGTTTTAACTACTTTTGCCACCACACCCACACAAGCTGATGGAAGAAAATCTGATGCAAAATTCATATGAATATCATCAGATTAATGGTTTAAAATGCGAGAGAATAGACATGTATCTAGTTTTAGTGGTAAATGCAAGAAATAACAGTGTACTTTTATCTCTTTAATTGTAACCATATCCTACTTTCATTTATTTCTATTAGTGCATTGTACTCTTTGATATTTTTCTTATTAAATCATTACACTTTCAAATTTATAGCATTGTACATTACATTATTTTCTTATTAGGGCATTATACTTTGAAAAATCTACCCAATTATTAAGTGAAAATCTCATTGTATTGAATATGATGTTATGTTTTGCATTTAACTCTTTAATTTTGACTAAACGAAGAAATATTCTAATTTTCATGTGACAAAATCATGTACTTTTTATGAACTTAAACTTTAATACATCCAAATAAACACATATTTTTTTGAAGGGAAATCTCCAATAAAGTCCTAATATTTTGGTTCTCCCAACATTTATATTTTGAACAAAAAAGTCTCGATTATCTAATTTTATACGATAATCTGTCATTTTCTGTTGAAAAAAAATAAAGAGTGTTTTGTTAATCTTGGCAAAATATAAAATAATCGAGACTTTTCTGTTCAAAAAATATAAGTTGGGATTAAACTGTAAATAGACCAAAATTGAGACTTTATAAGAGATTTCCCTTTTTTTTAAAGCGGAATGTTGTATTATACAAATCAACATAAGCATGTTGCTATCTTTTTTCCATTTAACCCTGTAATCTTGACTACAAAACGAACTATTCTAATTTTCATGGCATAAACTTTAAAAAGAAATTATGAAAAACAATATTTACCACAACGAGGGCCAAAAAGTCCATGTCCAACAACATAAACCTTCGATCCAATCAAGGGACAAGTAAAGTCCATAACAATCGGTTGCAACTTATGAGGCACAAACTCAAGCTTCAATATTGCAATGTCCAAAGGTCCTTTACAAACATACACCACATTTGCATCACACCAAACACGATTATCCACATAATCCACCCGAACTTGTACCCTTTGATTGAATTCTCTTTCTTGTTTAGCTTCTTTTGAATGGGTGAAAAAGATATTGGAAATTGTGTTTTTATGGTTTTCATGAGGTTTCTTGAAGCGCCATGGCTCAAGAAGGTGAGCATTAGTGAGAATAAGGCCATGGTGGTTGAGTAGAACACCGGATGCCCATACACCATCACCGATTGTTATAAGACATATTGATGACGTGGTGTTTTCTATGGGATTTGGAGGGATGACGTGGCGTTTTAAGGGGGTTTTTGTGTTGGGTGATAAAAATCTTGTACATGATGTTACAATGGCTTCCCATGGAATCACAAGCTGTTATCAAAACAAGATTTAAACTTTCAAATTTTTTCTTATCAAGGCATTGTACTTTGATTGTATTTTTTTTTTCTATTTTCTATAAAAAAAATAAATAAATAAATAAAAATATTACCTGAACTTCAGCACCACTACCCCTCTGCCTCAGTGGCCTTGTAAGCATGCCAACTATCTTTGATTGTTCCCCAAAAACCGGGCTGCCTTCCATTCCTGAAAAAATATATATAATTAATCAATTTTAATTTTTTAATGCAACTAAAAAAAATCAAAAGAAAAATGTTTTTCACCAGGAAGACATCGAATATCTGCCATCAACAATGATATGTGAGAGGAACTTGGAGGGTAGTAATTGGAAACATAGCCAACTGATATACTGCTCCAAATAGCAAAGGGTAAATATGTCAAATTGTCAATCATCTTAAAATAGTAAGAGACAAAATTACAAGAGTAAATTACACGAATGGTCCCTATGGTTTGGGGTAATTTGCACGTTTGGTCCCTAACTTATTTTTTTATCTCAGAAGGTCCCTAAAGTTTGTTTTTGTTGCGCGTTTAGTCCCTGTTTTACCTAAAAAGACTATTTTGCCCTTGATTTTTAAATTTATTTAAATAATATGGAGTAGGTAAGGTAAGGTAAAGTAAGGTGAGGTGGAAATGGGGTTGGGGTGTGTTTATTTAAATAAATTAAAAAATCAAGGGCAAAATAGTCTTTTTAGGTAAAACAGAGACCAAGCACGCAACAAAAACAAACAGTAGGGACCTTCCGAGTTAAAAAAATAAGTTAGGGACCAAACGTGCAAATTACCCCAAACCATAGGGACCATTCGTGTAATTTACTCAAATTACAATACAAGACAACATATTTTTATTTCATTTCTAACTTAGTGATTGGAGTCTAAAAGTTGTTACTAAAACCATCCAAGTTTTGATTTATTTGTTCATTATAAGATTCAACTTTTCATAAACTTGTTTATATTATAGAATGACTTAATAAATAAATAAAAAAAAAAAGAAAAAAAAAGTAGGTTGCTATTTGTTGAATGACCTGTTGGAGAAATGGGAAGGAGACAAAACACCAAAAGGAGCACCAATTGCTAGAAGAAGATCTCCTCTCTTAATTGAAGAACATATCTTTAGGTTTGGAAGATCCTACACAAAATCATTTTCCACTAATTCTCCAGATTTATGCAACTGAAAACAAAAACAAAATAACAGAATATATTTTTACACAAAATATATTTGGTGAAAGAAAAATGAAAAGCACCTCAAAAGTTTTTGTGGAAAGTTTCAGAATTGCAATTCGAGTCCCCAAATTTCCTATTAGAGTTGGATCAGTTGATTGTGATTCCAGCATTGAAGATCTTTGAGTCTGAAATAATCAATTAATATTTTTTATATTCCATCTGAACACAATATATAATTAGAACTAACAAACTTTTATTTAAAAAAACTAAAAAATTAAACATAGTAAAAGCTCAGTAAACCCCAAAAAGTTGCAATAGAAATCATAATTTAACTAAACCCATGAAATTTCAAAAAAAAAAAAAAAAAATTGAAGTCATTGGAGGTTTACATAAATAATAAGGGTTTTATGCAGAAAAGTCCCATTATTCTGGGAAAATCACATACTCTGTCATTTCCTGTTAAAATAAAATAATAAAAAAAAAGACTTTTTTGTTAATTTAGGCAAAATGTTAAATAATCGGGACTTTTCTGTTAAAAAAAAGGACTTTTTCGTTAATTCACATTCTTTCAAGAATTATCCATTCTATTACAAAAAACAATCATACTTTTTTTTTTCGTTTCAATGGAATCAACAATTCCATTCGATGATTCAGAGTATTTAAATTTTAAATGATGTAATGTTTGTTAAATTAAATACCTCTTTTTGTTTAGAATCAAAAAATCGATTGATGAGCATCATTATATGAGGCTAAAGACCAACCAACTTCCCACCCATGATCCAATGACCCTCCTACTAAAGATTCAAGAGCAACAGATGAACCTGGAATATCAACCTTCATACAAAAATAAAAAATAAAAAGTTAATTGTTTTTTAAAAAAGATTCCACAATTTATCTATAAAAATTTGCAGCTGTCTTTTCCCAAACAAAAGATATAGTCTTTTTGACCTTTGAGTATAATAAACGATACATCGTCTATATCTTTTGAGAATTCAAATTAGTATTTGGAGCAAATTACACGAATGGTCCCTATGGTTTAGGGTAATTTGCATGTTTGGTCCCTAACTTATTTTTTTTAACTCGGAAGGTCCCTACTGTTTGTTTTTGTTACGTGCTTGGTCCCTGTCTTACCTAAAAAAGACTATTTTTCCCTTGATTTTTTAATTTATTTAAATAAACACACCCCCAAACTCACCCCCTCACCTTATCTTACCTACCCCACTATTTTTCTCTATTTAAATAATAAATTTTTTAGGTAAGATAGGGACCAAGCGTGTAACAAAAACAAACATTAGGGACCAAGTGTGTAACAAAAAATAACAGTAAGGACCTTCTAAGTTAAAAAAATAAGTTAGGGACCAAACGAGCAAATTACCCCAAACCATAGGGACCATTCGTGTAATTTACTCTAGTATTTAACTTTGTTTGACCTTAAAAGTCAAAGTGTACATCTTTTGTTGGCAACACCAAGGGGTAATTTAGTAAAAAAAACAAATAGAAGTACAAGCAAAAAAACATGTCTACCAACGTTATAAGTTCAGCAGATAGCCAATGAGGAGTTCCTTTAGCATTCCCCTGCATGTGTTTTTTTTTTTCTTGATTAAATTAATCCTTTTGCATTAAGTAAAAGAGAAACAACGCCTAAGTATTGGAAATTATATCTTTTACCTCAACAAATATATCTATCTGAGCACCAGAAATCAACTCTGGTTTGACCTGATCAAATATATAAACAAAAAAAAAATCAGAGTTACACACCAATATCTCATACGATACCAAATTTATAAGAAAAGTCAACTCATGTTTGACCTGAGACATGTGATCTCTATGTTTTGGTGAAAGAAATGGCTCGATTATGGATGCAACTGTGAGAACCAATGACATTGGCTCACTGCTAACATTAAATGAAGTAGGCAATAACACTCCAGATGCTGAAAGAGTCGTTTTCCCTGAGCTACAAATATATAAAATAACCAAAAAGTAGAATCAAAACTTTAGGGTTTGTTCCAAACCAACACCAAACACATAGAAATGGAGTTTCTCCTTGCTGGAATAAACCGAATTCAGGTTTAATTTATCAGTAATCACTACTCATGATCAAATTCAAATCACAAACATCTCTACAAAGCTACCAGTGGCATCACTGATGATTTTTCGTGGGTTTGAATTTTGATGTCGCAATTAGCAGTTTAAGTGTTGGTCAAAAACTGATTATGATCTTGATTGACTAATTATTGAATGGATTTGGTGAAGCAGTTAAGAGTTGGAAGAAAACTGGTAATTACGATTAACATAAAATTACATAAACGTATTAGGAATTAATCGATAGAACAAGAATGAAGAGCTGAAGCAACTACGGAATTAACAGTTTGAAGTGCAATTAACATACGTGTAATGATGGAAAGCGTGCTTTCTCATCTTCAGTCCTTTTGGGTCCTGAATTTAATCAAATATGAGGGGAAAAAAACAGTTCAAAATTTGAGGTTACGGGAGAAAGGGGTTTTGACTTTAAAATAGGTAGAACTAGAAGCTTACAGGGCCCTGAACTCTGATGATAACGGAGAAATTCCGAGCAACGTCGACGATCTCCGGTAGGCCCATACTGAGATTTTGAGTTTGTAGTTTGGAATTGGAGTCGTGTTTGATTTTTGAATGAGGAGAATCTCATCCGGTTACGACTTACGAGGTGACTTCATCAAACTTGATTAACAATACATGCTGCTGCCGATTTTCTACCGCGTGACTCCAAACATGAGTATCTATTTTTATATATTCCCTAAAATTTTACGGGTTAGGTTATACACTTTGTGGACTCGGCAAGTAATTCGGCAACCTCGGCGAACACATCGGGCCGACCATTCGGCGAGGCGAGTTCGGTTCGGCAACTTGGTGGAATATTACCGATGAGAGAGTGTAAGGTGTTGTTTGTTTTGGAAGTGGTAAAATGTGTTTAGTCTTTTTCCGTGTCTGCGGAAGAAGACGTGGACCAAAAGTCTTTTCTGTATATTCATACAAAAAGTCTTATTACAAAATGATCTTGGGTTTTTTGTCTTCCAGAAAACGAATGGCCTTTTGGGTAAACATCTATCCTACTGCAGACATAAGTTTCCAAAAAGTCTTTTTTGCCAAAAAAACAAACGAGCCCTAAGGGTTTGGGGAATTTGAATCTATGATCGTTTTTTATGGTCATAATTGACCTTTTTTTTCAATTTCTGTTTAAAATTCACCATCTTTCTACCCTATATTAATACTACTATGCAAGGTTGTAGAAAACGTTCGACATAGGCTCCGTAATGGACTGTGGTCAAGGGATTAATCGGCTAGGCAATGATTAATCGGGGACCATTAATTATTAAAAAAGTTAATAAAAAATTAATAAATATAACATTAATCCTAAGAATATAACATTAATAAATATAACATTATCAAATTTACCCAAACTTTGTTTTTTAATATTTTAAAACAATTTATAATCGTTTTTTTATAACATAAACTCATTATAATTATTAAAAGGAATTAAACGGACAATAATACCTCTGCTTCTTTAACTCTTGCCTTGAACCAAATCAAACCCACTAATTCTTAACGTCTCCTATCTCCGTCCATAGAGAGGCCCCCATCTGATGGTTTACTTGGAAGATAGCATTATCAAATCATTAGATTTTAAAAGAATACCATTAAATCCACCATTAGTTGCAGAAACAATAGTTTTAGTTCTTGACTCCTAAACATCCACAGTACTACAATCCTGTCCTAAAATCCGACCTATAATTCACCAGAAAAAAAAGCAGTGTTAGAAATCAAACTTAATACTATAAACTTCTCTAGACAAAATAGACGTAGATTGATGTTTATGTCAAACCCATGACCTCCAAACTACAAAATTGTTTTCAATTTGCTAACTCTACAAGAATATCACTGACAAAACTTTTGCATTTACACCAAAATCACTGAAATTTCTCTTAAGCATTTACACAAACACTTGACATGCTAGTTATCAAACAACCATATCAACCATATCACTGAAATCGTGATTCCCTGTGATCAAACAACCATATCAACCATATCGACACCGATTCCATCCATAAACAAGAACACGAATCAGATTACTTAATTGAAACAGAATCGGTTCAATGCTTTAAATAGAATTGGTTCAAATACATGGAAAAACGAGAAAGGGAGAAAACATGCGTGAAATCAATTGTATACTAAAATCAAAAAAATAATTGGTACAACACCATATCTGCGTGAAATCAAAGAGGAGCACAACTCTTGGAGGTTTAATGGCGACATGTCATGATGGTTGAGAACGAGAACAAACAAAATTGCGATGGCATTCATCAAATTCGAATGTATCTAAATGCCAGTGTTTCATGGTTTCGTGGTCGTAATCTTATAGCCACTCAAACTCTCCCAGAAACGACGTATGAAATCGTCGGACCTGTGTTGATGAAATTAGAGTATGAAATCGATGGACCTATGTCGATGGAACGACGTGATCTTCAATCGTTGGACCTGTATCGATGAAATCGCTGCCAATGGGCTTATTAAAGAAGTAGCTAGCAGCAACCTAGTCAGATAGTTTCCAAAAATTCATCTGATCAGATCATTGATAAACAAGGATCATGTCAAGCTGGAAGTGGAAGCAGTTTTGAGGGTGTAGAGGGTTAAAGTTTCCCAGATCGACGGTAGGATAATAGATGAAGGAAAACATATTCTATAAAAGGGGAGCCGACTCCTTTGAAAATAAAACCCAATTATGCTTTGGGTTAGCTTGCTCCTTTGAGCCAACGGGTCCATAAGCGCTATTTGGTCAGATTTAGAGTCCGAGTTGGCCCGATTAGTCCGATTTGGACCGGTTTTGACCGATATTGACCAAGGCCGATAAGCCTAACCCTCTAACCCTTATTCGTAGGCGGTTTGAGGTCGTCAAGCGTCTAGGCGCCGATTAATCGGCCGCCTAGACCGATTTTTGCAACCATGATACTATGTATCATATTTCATCCCACTTCACATTCTTTAATTTTTCATTCAAGCAACCTCATTTTTGTGAAAAAGTGGCTTCTCCTTCCTGTAAACTAACAAGACATAGAACGGCTAGGGTTTCATATTATTATCAAATGAGAAGTACAAGATACAATGAAAGGAAAAGACATAATATATAGACTAGCTAATTAGGGTTTTCTAGCTAATGGCCCAACATAAAACCCAATACAAAATAAAGCCCACAATCTTATTAGGCTAACATCCCACCCCCCCCCCCCATCAAACTCACAATGCAACAACAATAAGCATTGAGAGTTTTTCAGACATAAAATGTAATCAAGGAGCAGTTAATGGCTTCGTAAGAATATCAACAATCTGCAAATTGGAAGGAACATAAGGAAGGGAGATAGTTCCCTTCTGGAGATGATGTCGTGTGAAATGATAATCAATCTTAATGTGTTTTGTGCGCTCATGAAACACTAAATTCTTTGCAATCATTATCGCACTCTTGTTGTCACAATACAAAGGGGTAGACTGAGAGATGTGAACGTCTATATCTGCAAGAAGCCATCTCAACCAAACAATCTCAAAAGTGGCGATAGCCATGGCTCGATACCCAGGTTCTATAGAAGATTGAGAGACAACATATTGTATCTTACTCTTCCATGATATCAATGAATCTCCAAGAAAAACATAATACCTAGTAGTGGACTTACGATCATAAATATCATTATCCCAATTAGCATCACTATAGGCACGCAGCTCAAGAGAGGATGTAGATGGAAACACAAGGATGCGAAACTGAGTACCACGAAGATATCTCAAAATACGAAGAACAGCTACCCAGTGAACAGTAGAAGGGGCAATCACAAACTAGCTAACCATATGAACTGCATGAGCAATATCTGGTCTAATGACAATTAGGTACACCAAACTGCCTACAATGGTACGATAAAGGCTTGGATCTTATAAGGGGACACCATCAATTGGAGAATACTTTGCATTACTCTCTATATGCGTATTAACTGTACGATTATCCGTGAGTCGTGCGCATTCTAACAAATCTGAAATATACTTTATTTGAGATAATAGATAACCCTTTGGAGACTGAACAAATTCAATCCCCAAGAAATAATGTAACAAACCCAAGTCTTTCATAGCAAAACGATGATCCAAAATCACGCTATAAAGACTTTATACCATCATGATCATTATCAGTAATAGTCATGTCATCGCATATAAGGAAAGAATAATCTGATCTGCGCTCGTACATCGAATAAATAGAGCCAAGTCATGTTTACCTGGTTGAAAACCAAGAAAAGTAATCACCATAGCAAATTTCTCAAACCAAGCACGAGGGGCTTGTTTGAGGTCATATAGTGCTTTCCAAAGTCGACAAACTTCACCTGGTTGGTGAGTAATACCAGGGGGAGACATGTATAATTCCTCATGAAGATCACCATTCAAGAACACATTCTTGACACCCATCTGATAAATCTTCCATTGGCGAATGGAAGAAACTGCAATCAAGGTGCGAACAGTCGTCATTTTTGCAACAGGAGCAAAAGTCTCATCATAATCCACACCATACTTTTACACATACCCTTTCACACCAAGTCTGGCTTTATAAGGCTCAATGGATCCATCAGACTTTGTTTTGATTTTATATACCCAACGATAACCAATCGTGTGCTTTCCGGGCGGAAGCAGAACCAGATCCCATGTATGAGTCTGATAAAGAGATGCAAGTTCCTCCGCCATAGTGGTCTGCCAAAGGGGATAAGAAACGACCTCTTTGTAGGATGTTTAGCTCAGAGAGACGATGTACGTTAACAATAAAGGAGGCAAACGCTAGTGATTAAGAGGAATAGACAAAGTCAAGAAGCTTTGTGGACTTCTTATTATGATAAGGCCTCGATGGTGGGGGATCTTGATGATATGCAGGCAGAGGATCAATGACAGGTAGCGGATCAATAGCAGGTGGTGGATCATCAATGTCAATGCTAAACAGATCAATAGTATGAAGCTTCTCTCGGGTTGCATCATGTGACTGAACAGGAATGCTATAGAACAGAATGTGCTCAAAAAATGTGACATTGCAAGGGACATACAATTTCAGATTTGATGGATCATAACACCGATAAACTTTCTGACTAATACCGTATCGGAGAAATACATAAAAGGCTAATTTTGAAGACAATTTATCTCTTTCTCTACATGAGGCTTCAAGACAAAACAGGTACACCCAAACACTCGTAATGATGATGTAAGATCCCATGGAGATGAAAATTACGAAATTTAAGAATCATACATAATCGTAATGATGATGTAAGTTGTTAGCAGATCATTCGTATTGATTATTGTACTTTCACTGACCATAGAACTTATAAGCATTGTCAAATCAACTGGAGGTGCACACAAATATTTCAATTAAACACAACAGGTTATCAACCTCAGTTCGTGTGCTAGTAATAACTAAAAGAATCATTGTTAGTTGACTCTTGCAAAATCAATATTAACTTGACTTCCACTGACTTCTTGACATGTGAGTTTTCTCTCAAGGAACATTCATTGACGAGCTAAAACAAACATTCAAAAGGTCGTGTGGAAACACTTTCATAAAATAAGACTTAGTTTATCTTTCGTTTCTCGATCAACGAAAAAACATCAAAACTCCAATTCTAAATGTGCTAAAGTAAGAAAACATTATTACTCCACATATTTTCGGAGGTGTTATGATCCTT